ATGTGGACTAAAGGAAAACGAACCAACAAGGATTATCTAGATGCCGGAAAGAAAACAAGAAAGATTGGTGTCATTGTATTTGTGACAATATGCTTTCAATATTCGCATTCACTGTGTTGTCAGTGACAGCTGTTTGGCTTAACATAGGCATTGGGTAGGATCAGCGTGCCGGTGGAGGGCTTGAGAGACGCAAGATCACAAATCATACTCACAGGCCAATTGCTGACACCTGGATCCTAACATCTAAACTTCTCAATCCTCGCTGGTTGAACCTGTATCAATCAAAGTCTCAAAAACTTTTCATTTTGTCGATCCTTCAAGTTTCTATTTATGTAATGAGCTCTTTAAGCTTTGATTTGATTCGAGACCATGTCGCAATCAAACCTTCTTGCATGGTTTCTACCAATGTTGATTGATTAAATTTACTTTTGATTCCATGATTTGATCTCGATTTTGTTTTTTGAACTTGGTTGATTCGAATTCTTCAGATTTAAATCGGTTTGTTTTCCAGTTTGATTTGACGGATCCCCCATGGGTTCATACAATCAGGGCAGGACCGCTCATCCCGGCTCATCTCAGCTCATCCTAGCTCATCACTGTTGATGAAGTTGGACGATGGCTCAGTGCACCTGAGGTCAACGCCTGAGTCTGGCTGCTGGGGATGGGGCAAACTGGGCAGGCTCAGCGTACCAATTTGGGCCGGACAGAAATTTCACAGTTTTTTTGATGCTTTTGCGCAAGATCTTTGGGCCCCCGACGTCGGGGGCCTTCTCCACGGGCACTGTGAATGTAAGAGAGACAGCCAGAGCATGAAATGAAGCAGAATGAAACAAAGACACTCCAGAAAAGTAGTATTTTCCATGCAAAAAAGAAAAATGAAGTCAAATTTGCATGTAGAAAACTCCTAACAAGTAAAAAAAAATGATAGAAATATTGGAAGAAATTCATCATATTTCTACTTGATTCCTTCTGTTCCTGTGATTTTTTCATAATTTTTGTTACAATAACCCTTGTGTGTAATAATGAAACAATGTTGTTGCCTCCAGATTGTGACCTGTAAATCCCTGGCCTTAGGTCAGTTCAGATAACTTAAATCTTGTCCAAAACCCTATTATATGGTGGTTTTGGGCAAAATTTGAGTTTCTGACCTGCCCCGCCATGGTTCTTACAGGTCACACTCTGGAGCCTAAAAACATGTTTCATTAGTACAACAAAGAGCTGTTTCACTGAAAAACATAAAAAAATTGTAGGAGCACAAATGGTCAAGTAGAGAGCTAAGGCACTTTGCTGCTCATTTTTACCATTTTTTTGTCCTGTTGGGAGTTTTCTCTAGGAAAACATGTCCGTACTTTTCTTTTCTGCATGGAAAAGATTACTTTTGAGGTAGTGTTTGACAGTTAGAAATCCTATGGCCCAACCTCCAACAAGTACTCACACCAGGAATTTTTGGCTTCCAAATCAGCACCACATCTGCTTGTTGCTTTTTAGCCTTGGCAAATAAAGTCCAAAAAACATGAACAGGGAAAATGCTGACTGAATAATAATTTCTGTGTTGCAAGACTGATCTCTGTGCTCAACAGTTTTGTTCAGGGAGAGTTGGCAAAAACAAGTTAGAGTGACTTCCCCGATTTTGTAAGAATTATGGCTTTATGAATACCAGTTCTAGTGCCATTGTCTCCTGTTTTTGTGTTACTACATTACATAATTTTTTGTTGGTTTGGTGACTCTCTCCAGTTTTCCCACTGACAACCCAGGTCAGTTCTGTTTTTGGAGTTTGTCCTAAAGCAGAATCAGAGAGATAAAAAGTCCTTAGGCAATGTTCCCAAGATGAGAATAAGATGCTGAAGTTCAGGTGGTTTCTCAGAGCAATAGCTACATAACAAAATTTGGGACAGGTTCAAAGTTTATTCATTAAAAATTCTATCAATATTCAAGAATAAAAACTCACTATCAACAGCCACATTGGTAATATCTATCACAAATGTTGGGATACAATACAATGTACTTATTGCAAGAAAGAGCCTGGAGGAATGACTGGCACTTGCATGTACTGTCTGAGATGTTCACCTACAGCATTTTCTTGCATATCATTATTGAGTAAAGTTGCTGATAATGCATTCAAAAGAGGTTGAAATTGAATAGATAGACAGAGCCGGGGCCATCAAAAAGATCATCTTCATCCTGGTAGAGTTGGAGTTATGAATGTATTTTCAATCAATGCAGTCCACTGACTTCTGAGAGCAATTCCATTCCATGCAAACACATCCAACATTATCATTGACCAAGTCAGATTTGACATAGTCCACTTTATGAGTCAACCAGGATGCACAAGCATGTCTAAGTTAGCTTGTGTATCAGATGATGAAACTTTGAACAGATGATGTACATTTCTTAAAGACAACAAGCAAAGAAGAAATCATGACTAGAGAAGAACATAACACAAATAGAAACTAGCCTATGAGTCAACCAGGATGCACAAGCACATCTAAATTAGCTTGTGTATCA